ACGGCGTATACCGCGCAGGCTCGCGCCAGTGCCTGCCGGCTGCGAGAAGCGGATAATATACTTGTCCTTGTCACTCTCCGGGGACGGTGTCAGACTTGTTAGCCCATGGGGGCTTGGTTGGCGAGGCGGCTCCCTCTGATAGACTGGTTCCGGGCGTTGCGGTTGTAGAGTTGGCTCCCAAGACAGCACCGCCTCGGGCGTCGGTTCTCGACATGGTGGTGGAGGCGTTGGTTCCCAAGAGATTGGTTCGTCGTCAGGGAAAGGTTCACGAGGAAGCGGTTCTAGAGGCTTGGAAAAGTTGGGCAGTGCGGGTTCCTCCAGTAGATCTGACATGTCGGACATGTCGGGAATGTCAGAGAACTCATGGTTCGAAGGAGCCTTTGGAAGCCCAGGCTCTTCTGTTTCTGCAAAAATCCGTGATTCTCCTTGTGACCCTGGTGTAGTCCGCTGCAAAGGAGCGGACTTGGCGGTGGCTGCCTGTGGGATTTCAGGGAATGTCGACATCGCCTGGATGTCTTCATCAAAAGCAGCATCGCCTATGTCTTCCATCATGTTTCCTATCTCGCTTTCCATTTCTTTCTCCAATTCCTGCTTTCGATCCGCTTCGCCAGTCTCTTGTACCACATCCGGCATGGCCATATCCATGACCATGCCAAGGTCTGAATCGCCGCCCAAATCATCGTCTAGTTCCTTGTCATCCAGTTCCTCGTCCAGCTGATCGAGAATATCAAACGACCTCCTCTTACGGGTGCTGTTACTCGGTACCGGGTCCACTTTGGCGGCAACTCTGTTCGGTTCAGGGTCGGAATCATCGCTACCGTCGGGAAAGTCCTCGAGGATCCGCTGCACGGTCGGCTTGACTGGAGGAGCCGGGGCCGGGGTAGCATGGCCATACATTGGTAGTGGTGCACGGGTCGCCGGAACACGCCTCTCGCCGGCACGTTTTGAGGTAAACATCCGTCGATTCGATGTCGGGAAATCATCTTCGCTAGATTCGTTTTTCACAGACGCATCGCCTTGTCCACCACCACGACCATCGCCACCACCGAAGCTATATGATTGATTTTGAGAGCTTCGCTGGCGTGTCATGCCCTTCATAGCTGGCTTAAAACTGCTTCTGCTGCTCTTTTTCTTGGGCCATTGTGATGCTCCGTCGTCCTCATCCTCCTCGTCGTAGCCGTACTCCTTGATAGCGGGTTGATTGTTTATGTACCCTGCTGGTGTAAGTCTTGCCCGTTCCGTCATCGCGGATACAGGTCCGACGCGACGGCGTTTAGCCAGGGGCTCCATGGATAATGGCAGCGTGGTCGCAGAAGCAGTCGGTTTGGGCTGTGCTTGTGCCTGAGTCCGGGATTTGGCTGGTGGTGGGTGTCCAAACACCCGTTCCTCCTCCGACTCTCCAGATTCGTCCGAATTGGGAGCAAACTTTGGCACCCTATGGCGCATATAGGACTGGCCGTAGGACCTAGGCCTGTCATAGGAACCTTCCACTAGTCGGCCCATGAGTCGAACGTTGCGTCGAGTAAAGGCACCGTGGTGCAGGTACTTTGTCGGGCGCAGCTTTTGTAGGGGCTTGGGGTCAGAGGTGTCGATGACCGGTATATTGTCTTGTGGTCCAAATGCCGATGCGAACGAGGAGTTACTGTTGAAGCCGCCACTCTTATTGGCGCCTCTCAAATCGGTCCCCGGGTCGGGAATGTCAACCAAAAAATCCGTCTCAGCTACTTCTGGTACCGCCGGTCTCGGCGCAGCAGCTTTTTGCCTTACTTTAAAGCCCAACTTAGTCTGGCCATCTTCTCTCACAGTCGATGCTGTAACAAATCCTGTCTCTGCGTCGTCCGGCATGTGGAACACCTTTTTCGACGCCTTAGGTAACTTTCCGCGTGCTTTTCTGGGTTCCGGGAGGGACATGTCCTGTGTGTTTTCGATGGGGATTTCGACATGGCGTTTGTCGACTTCTGGCTTAATGTCCCGAGGGACAATCCGCTCCGAAAGGTCAAACCGGAAATTGAATCTCGACCCTTCACTGACAAGCTTTTGCATGTTGGAGTATTTGTCTTGCGCTTCGGCAAACTTGTCCTCTTCCTTGCCTTTCATGAGCAGTAGCAATACCCGACCAGCGCGCTTCCGGCCAGTCCGCCCCATGCGCTGCAGCATGCGAATTGGCGACGATGAGGCATCATAGCAGATAATCAGGTCGACTTGACCAATGTCTAGACCTTCCTCACCAATGGACGTCGCCACGAGGACATTGAACTCGCCGGATTTGAATCTCTTAATTGCTTCAATCTGGTCTTTCTGCTTCATGCCAGCGCTGCGTTTGGAGTCGGCCTGGCCAACAAAAATCGATGCCTTGACGTTGGGGATGCCGCGATTGAGATTCCGCACAATGTCTTCGGCACTGTCGCGAAACTCGTTGAAGACAATGGCCCGCGTGTTGGATCCGGGCGGCTGGTCTTTGAAGTGGTCGAACAGCTGCTCCTTGAGAAAGGTGAGCTTGGGGTGGCTCTCAAAGCCGTCCTCTTTCATCCACCGTTCAATGGTCATCATCATCTCCTGGAAGTCCGGGTCACGGAAGAATGCCTTTCGATTCTTGCTACCCTTCTCGTCCTTTTCAGTCTCGGCCCGAAGCTCAGCCAGGTTGTCGTAGCAGGCACGGATGCCGTGGAAGTTCAAGAGCTTGATCGAGTGCGCCAGGGTCTTGAGCAACGCAAAGGTCGCCATGATCATAAATTTCGTGCCTTGGTTCAGGTGCCGTGCTGGCCCGGCCGCCCATTCTCTCTGGGCCCTGAGAAGAGTAAACGTGTTGAGGGACATCGGGTCCCGGCCGAACCAGATGCCTTGCTGGGTGAGTCGGTCACAGAACGGCTTCAGTGCCTTGGAGAACAGATCTTGCACACACTTCATCTCGGTCGACGGCTCCATCGTAAGTCGTTCGATGTCTCGGTTATGGACGTACTGGCGAATGTCGATGGAGTCCTCCGTGCGAATCTCAACATTGGACATGCCGAGGTTGTCAATGACTTCTTGGACCGCCTCGACGGAGGACCCAGGCGTCGCCGTTAGTGCCAACACGCGGAAACTGTTAGTGAATCTGCGCATAAAGCCAATGACCTTTACATACGCATAGTCGCCGGTCGCGCGATGGGCTTCGTCAATGACCAAAAGGGCAATAGACTTGGGGTCGGCGTAGCCCTTGGACAGGTCGTTTTGTAGCGTCTGTGGAGTCATGAAGAATAAACGCTTGCTCGCCCATTCAGCCTCTCGTAATGCGGGCGGCGTCTCGCCTGTCAAGAGCGTCGTATCTGACCGTGGAATGCCGGCTATGTTCAGGCAGGCGTCGACTTGTTGCGAGACAAGGGGCTTTGTTGGTGCGACGAAAATTATTTTCGCATCCGTTGTCCAGCGGTAGAAGTTGAGGATGACTGTGGCCGCAATAAACGTCTTGCCTAGGCCAGTCGGAAGTGCCACTAGCGTGTTGTTGAAGAGGCTGTTCTTCACGATGCTGAATTGGTAGTCGCGGATGGCACCCAGGTTCGTCGGGTAGACCCAGGTCTTCATGGCCTCCTTGTCAATTTTGTGGTGCGTAGGCTTCTCGGCTGGCATGTCCGATACAAAAGCATGGTTGTGGTGTACAGCCTGCGATGCTTCAGCCTGGAGCGTATCGCCATACAGTGTGGTCTGTCTGAACGACTGTTGGCCCGATAGCCTCAGCGGATTTCTTGCACTCGAGATGATCGAGCGTTGTGAGTGTGAGGCAGCGCCAGTATAGCTGGCAAATGAGCTGTCAAATGCATCTGAAGGCAGATCGTCCAACTCGGCGGACAGGTCGATGGGCGCTTGGGCCGTTGATTGCCGGAAATTGTTATTCTGTAAAGGGTCAGCACACTCATAAATCTAGTATGCGCATATACGGTCCTAGTGTACCTGAATCTGAGGCCCGCCTCTTGACAAATTGCTGTCTATCGGCTGGGGCCGAGGAGGGGCTGCCATCGTCACTCCGGCGGCGTGTGGCCGGAAGGTGGATACGACCGGTCGTCCGGCATTCGGAGCAATGCTCCGAGAGCTGATAGATGTTCTTGGTGTCGTCCGTGCCGTGGACACAGTCGAGGGCGTCGTGACTGCTGCCATTGGCCTCGATGAGGTCGACAGTCGACTTGATTGCGTCGTCTCATAGGCGAGCATGAGGTCCTCGTCGGCTACATCCCCGCCAAACAAATCTTCGTCGTCGTCCATCTCGAATCACTGGCACAGCCCTGCCCTCAGGTCGGGATGTCATTGACGTAGATAGTGTGCTGGCTGCTCAACTGTTGTTCGTTGGTGGTATTGGCAATGAGGTACAGCAAACAGGCGTATGGAGCAGAGTGACGCGCTATCCGCGTTCAGGCGGTCAGTACGCGGGATGCCCGAGTTCCCCTCTGTCGCCAAGTCACGTGCAGAACAAATAGTTAGCGGGAGGCGGAGGCAGGAACAAGGTTCAAATAAATGACTAACATTACACCTGCTGCCTGCGGAGGCCTTGCAGTGGGTCTTTATCCAGCCAATCATAGTGCTGTCTCCATTCCCCCAAGGGCCAAACTCTTCGTTCTTCCCGCATGCGGCATTCATCGAACTTCCTAGATGCGAGGGCATTGAAAAAAAAAACAAAGAGCCTTTCTCTTTCTTCAACTAAACGCGTCTCCCTTGTCGCCAGCGCCGATAGGGACTACAAATTCGGCTGTGCCCCTCATCACCCTCCGAATTCTCTTTTCCCACCTAGTCGTTCTATCCTACACTTTCACAGATTTCAACGGCGACCCTCTCGCCACATCTCCATCTCACACGATCTCTTCACCATATCAACAACGAGTCGCCACCACCTCTCTATTATCGAAGACCGACGTACAAACAACGCGTCGTCTTTATCCCCCCTCTCCTCTTATTCCGCCTTGTCCCCTTCTCCAATCCATAACCCCCATTTCTACCGACTCTCCCAACCGACTTGAACCTGCATCGACGCAATGGCTCCTCCTACCGGCCCTCGCGCAGACGCGCGCACCACGAGAAGCTCTACGCGCAACAACACCACGAGTGGCAACACTGGGGGCGGCATTCGGAAGCGGGGCGGTGCTCCCAAGACGGATCGCAACGGCGATGTGATCATGGGCAACAACCCGGCTACGAAGACGGATGGCCGCAAGTCTAGCCAGTCAACACGAGGCGGGCGGGGAGGCTCACGCGCCGTCGCCTCTGCTGAACAAAAAATCAAGAGGCATTTGGGCGTTTCGGGCGAGGCGAGTCTGGCCAAGAGAATTTCTGAGCTCCCACGGAAGAAGTTCAGCAACATGGCCAACCGTAAAGTGTTCAAGATTGTCGGCCTGCAACAAAGCAAGGCTGCGGGAAACGCCGACCGTGGCGAGCGTGGTCTTCTTGACTTCATCGAGCGGAAATCAGCAAACATGGGGCGTGGACTCAAGATTATCAAGGTATGTATTTGAAACTGACATGTATAATAACTCTTACGTGGATTCTCTCTTTGATGGGATAGCAATCTTCTCTCCAGATCTACGGACCTACCTTGGCCAACACATCACCACCGGAGGCGACGTTTGTCCCCATTGATTTCAACTAGCCAGCTAACACGACCACGTCAGTCGCGACTCGACAACGACTTTGTTCTCACAGTCATGGTGGACCAGGAGGATGCGGAGGAGCTCATGAAGCTCAACAACTTTGTCTTTGCGGGCGCAAAGCTTACCGTGGCTGAGGACCCTCAAGGATGGCCCGGCCAGGCTGCACCGAAGCCCAAGCTGTCCCAGGAGACACTAGAGCGGAAGTCACAGCTACAGCAGGTGCTTGCCACCCGCTACGATGCCGGAGCCAAGCTCCTCAATCTCTCTCGACTTGGCGAGGACCCTGTTCTTATTGGGATGGGGTACCTGGAAGACAAGGACCGCGCAGAGAAGACATTTAAGGTTCTGATGGCGATTTGTGACGAGACTTTCCCCACAGCCGACGCCAAGCGTGACGCAGTGGTCAGTGTATCGCTCGCGAACAACAACATTGACTGGGTCGGTCAAGTCTTCGATCTCGCCGAAACCTTTCCCGACATCAAGAACCTGGACCTCAGCGGCAACCAGTTCAAACAACTTAAGAGCCTGAATCGTTGGAGAGGCCGCTTCCGCAACCTGGAGACGCTTCTCATGATTGGTAGCCCTGTGGAAACCGAGGACCCCAACTACAAAACGGAGCTCATGTCGTGGTTCCCGAAGCTCATGAACCTGAGCAATGTCCAAGTCCGGACGCCAGAACAGGTTGCGGCGGAGGAAGCTGCCAAGGCTGCAGCACGTCCCATTCCCATCCCACAGTTCGGCTCCGACTTCCGCGACGGCAGCGGCATTTCTGAGACCTTCTTGACCCAATTTATCCAACTTTACGACACGGACAGAGCGCAGGTGGCGTCCATCTTTTACGATGATGCCAGTCAGTTCTCTTTGTCTGTCACCACACAGACACCTCGCGACAACAGCACGCCCGTGTTACCTTGGGCAGCGTACCTGCGCTATTCCCGGAATCTTACTAAGATTACCAGTCGGAGTGCGCGCGTTCAACGGCTCGTCCGCGGCGCTGCCATGATCAAGGAGCTGTGGAACACGCTCCCCCAGACACGCCACCCCAACTTGACGACGGAGCTACACAAGTATATTGTCGACTGCCATCCGCTTCCAGGCATCATGGACCCAACAGGCCAGAGTGCGACGGGTGTGGATGGTCTCTTGCTCACCATCCATGGTGAGTTTGAAGAAATCGATCCGACAACCAGCAAACAGGGCAAGCGGAGCTTTACGCGGACATTCGTTCTTGGCCCTGCTACACCGGGTGGCCAGGCCGCCTTCCGCGTCGTCAGTGACATGCTCTCTTTGCGGGCACACCAACCCATCCCTGACCAATCGTCTCAGGCCTCATCCGAGCAGGACCAAAAACAGAAGATGATCTCGGAGCTGTCCAAGGTAACAAACATGACGCCTCAATATTCGGAGATGTGTCTCGCAGAGGCGGCGTGGAACTATGACGGCGCCGTTGCGAAGTTCCAGGAGTTGAGAGTAAGTTTATTTTTTCTCGTCTCGGCGTTACCGTTCTCGCATCTACAGTCTCGCTAACAAATTTCGTCGCAGCCCAACCTTGGTCCTGAAGTATTCATGAGCCCGATGGTCTAGGGACCCGGCATGATACTGCAACAGGTCATGCCATGAAGCATGCCATATCCTACCACAAACTACACGGGTATACATGATGGCCATGCATTCTACTCGAAATGGTAGCTATCATGCAACCACTGACAATACAAAACACAACATTTACTGGAGAATACGGGACGAGGATTGCCAAAACTGTTTCCTTTGGACAGATCAGGCGGTTGGTGGTGTTTTACGCGCAACCTGTGACGAGTTCGGCTATCGAAAGAAGGACAGATTGGCTGCGCGGAGTTATTCGGAGGGAAACCAACATGGATACGGATTTTGGTCTGCTTTTGCTTTTGCTTTTTTTTATATTTTTTTTCTGTATTATTGGAAGGCCGGGAGTTTGTTTTCCTTTTCTGTTTCCCGTGGCGGGCAGTCATTATTGTTTGTTTCTGCTGCATCGAGGCGGTCTCACGGCTGGGTCATTGTTATGTGTCTTTTTTTGCGTCTGGACCTATTTTTAACGATACCAACCAACGCGCTTCTTCTTTTTTCTCCTTGTCAGCCAAATCCTCATATAGCAATGCCGAGAAGGATGCATCTGTATTTTGAAGAAAAATTCTCCGAGCAGCGCAAACGAGGACCGCAGTACTTGGCATTCCGCAAATGGTGTCACGGACGACCAGCAAGCACTGGGAATGAAAACAGCTGGGAAGGGAGGGACGGAGACCATAGACAATGAGATCCAACAGAGAGACCTTCTGCTATACATGGTGATGGCGTGCCTCGCTCATGTCGAGGACCGCATCCTACCGCCGAAGGGAAGGCCATGGAAGAAAAAACCGACAGAAAACATACCATGTCTGAACCGGACTTCGACCCCACTCCTGTCGAACTTTCGAGCCGACCGTGTATGCCCGTCTCGTTGTCGTGTGATACCGGGCGGGTGATGACTGGCACGGGGACCTACACTCTTATCCCATGCAGATTTGCTAGAATAGAATCAAAGTCTTTCCTATACTAATTTAGAAATACACCTGCGTGAGAAGGTCTCTTTTTTTCATATCTGTATCCTTATTTATTAATTTTCACGGCGGTGTAAATCGTCTATGCTTGATCTTCCTCTTCGTTTTTCTTCCTCTTTTTTTTTCTCCCCTCCCTCCTCTCCCCTCTCACACCCTCAATTCACACCACTCCATAGGGCTGCAATCCTTTGGCCCCCAGCTACAGATGCCGATCTGTCAAAGATGATGGAATGCCGCCGAGCAGCCAACATCACAGGTTAGATGCTGTTCCATGTGACGTAGATGCCGCCCAAGGACGGATGCAAATGTGGAGGGCAAAGTGCGTTCGTTAGTCGTTTTGGCCAATCAGGTGTTGCAGACCTGCATCGATGCTCCGGTTCGCTACACCTGCATGTCGTTTCCAACCACTCAGGCAAGCCAAACAAAGCCGCGCGCGAAATTAAAGGTCGTCAGCAGCCATGGCAGCCAAAGAAGTGAATGCAGACAGACCTGATCAAGAGGCCAAGTTCAAAACCATTTGTCGGTCTTCTACAGTGTCGCACGGGGCTTTCAAAGGTGGCTTTGGCCGCCCTTTAATAAGAATGTAATATGGCGGTATGCGTACAGATGCAATTCGACGTTAAGATCAACGAGGACTAGCAAAACCAGGCGAATCGCGAGCCACTGACACCCCCAGCGCTACGCTCGAGAAGGTGAGCAACAAATGGTAGGTGTTGTACGTGAGACATGTTTCGCTTTGTGCCTGCGAGCAGGATTCCAGTTCATGATCGTCATATCCAGCTCGAGATGCAGAACGGTTGTGTCCTTCGTAGATTGAACAAAGGAGAACAGCTTCCGGGTCATACTGGCAGCACTCACGAGAGGCGTGATGGCATCGAGTGCTGTCATGTTGTTGTGGTTAAACATTGTCGAAGTTGCTGAACTCATATCATGTCCTTCGGTTCCCCTGAGCGTCAAGTCGTGTGTTTGTACTGTGCAATTGTCACTTGGGCGTTTTCCAACCGCCGTCGATACGTCGATACTAAATTCATTTTATCAATGGCTGGCGGATGCTGCCGAATTTAGATTAGGGATCAAGGGCTGGAAGGTGACGACACTGCGAACGAGAGATAAAGCTTGCCCATAGGTGGCATAGCTTCGCTCGATTTCTACCGTGCCCTACAACGCGCCATATGGGCAAACAAATGGGGTATTATTCTATTCGCAAAACGGAGTGCTCCGTACTCCCCGACAACTTACGGCGTATCAACACGGGAATGACCCGTAAAAGCTGAGTAGCCGTCCCTTGAATTAAGACACCGAGTGGTTTGTTCCTCGTGACGTTATGGGTGGAATAAAATGATCCCATGCGACGACCCTTGGCCAGCCAGCTGTTCAACCCGGCCACAATTCAAGGCGCATTTCGTAGTGCTACCTTCCGGTGGTATTCATGTGCGCTAAATAGGCAATGAAGGGCGAGCGTGCCGAGACAATTGCATGGCAGAGGGTAAATGAGGAACCAACGCGCCAACAGTTTGAGATGCAACGGTGAGGCCCCAACCAACCAAATCCAATATTATCTTTGCCCTGGCAGGTCGCGGTTTGGTTATGTCGCACAGTTATCCAGGTGCTTTTCTATCTCTTGCAGGTCTTATCCTCTGAGCACTTGCATATCGCAATGTGACGAAATGTCGTGCGGAGAACAGTAAAATTGCTTGTGTCGTCAAAACTTGGCAGAACCCCAAGACCCTGGGGATAACCAGGCTTCTGGGAGAGCCACAATCGACCCTTGGCAAGCCTGGTTACTGGGGGCCGGGGACTTTCAACGAAAGAGTGTTCTAACGATGAAGAAATGCTTGCTCGGTCTTGATTCCACCCGCAAGGACGGGGGTGAGGGAAAGCGTGCCAGAAAGAAGTTGAAAATAGAAAGGGCGCGGTGCCCGCGTAATTACATCGTACAGCAGCTGCAAAGGTGGTTTGGCCAGTCTCGTACTCTGTAAACACGGCTGGGTCCCGCTTCGAATGGCAGGGTGCCAAAAGAGCACCTTTGTACCTCGCCGGCGCTTTCTGTATGGCCCAGTTACAATGCCCATCTTCAGATCCCATTCTAGTCCACGCTAACTCAGGGGCAGGCGTTGTGCAGGTCGGCGCGTTTCAGCGTGAGTGCACCCCCCCCCCCTTTGCGGACAGGATCGCTCTCCCAGTGGAGTTGGGTGGCTTTTGTCTCTTGCAGCGACAGTGCGAGGTTGACATCGCTGGCGCTGTGTTCTCTTCGCTCCACAGAAGAACAAGGCCTCTGTACATTCGTAATTGTGATGTTCTGCGATTTTGTCCGTGTGCTCGCAGTTGACCTTGCCTCGCCTTTACCTCGATCCTGCCACGGCGCTTCCGACGACAGCTGAGACAGACCAAACGAATGGAGTACTCTACTAGTAGGACAGTCAAGTTGCATGTCTGACTTTTGCTGCAACAAACAGTCTAGAGGTAAAAGTATTAGTGAAACATCAAGCAGTGACCGGAAGGCTGTAGCAGAGCAAGAGCGCAGAGGAAAGGAAAGGAGTTTTGCACAGACACGAGGCAACCATAGGGAAGAACGCCGTTTGGTTTTCTGTTTCTCTCGCCGCCCGTTGTTTGGTTTCTTTCGCCGCCGCACAAGGGGGCTTGAGTGGGCGTGTTCCGTTTCCGAAGCCCATATTGTCCGAATGGGAGGTCAATCAGGAGCTAACCCATGATGGAGCTAACCCAGGATGCTGGTCTTTTTTTAATTACGTCGATATGCTGAGACGAGGGGAAAAAGGCGGTGGTACTCGTATTTCGTGGAGGGCGGACGAGGGAACGAGGGAGGCATCGTGGCGTTGCCGACCTTTCGCCCAAAAGAGCAATTAAAAAAGGGGGAAGGTGCCATCTGCAGGGGTATGTTTCCTTAGTGTATGTATCTTTCTATGATGGTACACAAATGTACGTCTACTGGATGGTACGTATTTGTGTAGCACCAAAAAACAATACTTGTGCCCTGCCGTCCCTTGCAGGTACCCATCACTACGTACGCGATGTGATTGGCCAATGTTGACCTTGTGTCGCGCAACGCCTCCTTCTTCACCCTGCGAGGTCCCTACCGAGGCTGCCCTGCCTCAGTCGCTCTTTCCCTCCCGTCCCATGGTCGTGCCTTCCTAATTCTCCGTGCCCTCTCGAAGCAAAAGCGAAGCGAGAGGGGCAGAAGGCGCCCTTTCTTTTGTCCCTCTTCTGTCCCTCGCAGATTTGCTTTTTCTTGAAATCTGTAAATATTTCTGTTGTCATTCGACAAAAACGTCGCTCCGCTCCAGTCTCGTCCCATTTGCTTCGACTTTCGTCGCCGGCGAAGCTAAACGGCCAGCTCCAGTATTTTGGTGGACACCCCTTGCTCTGTTCAAATACACGAAAACAGGGACCTGGCACATAGCCTTTTCGCTGCAGATCAACAACTAAAAGGAACGAAAAAGCAGCAAACGACTGGGACACCTGTACGGAGCATAACCTGACAGAAGACGGTGCGGTCCAACGTTGCCCCCTTTTGTGTGTCTCTTCCCTGCAGCAATCAATATCGTATTGGTATTAGCGGCCGAGGTGACCACGGGCTTCTCGTTCAGAAGCAACTCGAGGCAGCAAAACGTTACTTGCCAACGGTATTCAGCACAGCCCTCGCAGCATTTTCCAGTCGGTGCGCTTTGAACCAGCCGCACGACGTGCAGATATTTTGCTGACTGCACACCCCGGCCAGCCAGCCAGCCCCCCCCCCTCCCCGGTTCCTTGTCGAGCCCCCCAGTCAACACCAACCCAGTCGTGCGACAACGCAAGGACACAAACAAGACACATTGGCCACCCATCGATGTGTGCAGAGGGAAAAGGACTAATTCGTAGTCACTGCTCCTCCCTGTTCCTAGTGTTCCTGGCCTGTCTGTTCCTTTCTCAATTGCCTCTCACCTCTCTGACCTTTCCCTTCCCCTTTCCCTTCTCCCCCTTTCCCGCTCTTTCAAAACATTCTCTCCATACACGACCTGTTGTTGGAAACACTCGTCCTCTCGCAGCACAGCAGCCGAGGAGATCCCTTGTGTTTTTCGTCGATCATCAAAGCTTTTGCTTGAGGGGGCCGGCTCTCCCTTTCTTCTTCCACCTTCTCGACATCACCACCACCTGCTTCTCCAGGTTACGCCTTTTGCTTCACACGACTCGTCAGTCGCACCTCAGCCTCTCCGTCTTCCAACGACCGTGTTGTTTTCGTGATACATCTTCTTTCTTTTCTCTCGGATATACACATATCTTCTGTGGTATTCGCTACCCGTGTCGACTATACATACCGGACATTCTCTTTACTTTTGTGCACTCCCTTTGGTCGCACGCGAACTCGAATACGATTTACATTCCTCACGAGCCACGGCAATCGCCTTTTGTACTGCTCCACTGACTTTACATCGCCTACCGAGCCACGCCGCCACGTAGCCGACAGCGATTTCTCTCATTCGGTTCTGTTTTATTGTTTTGCGCGTTGTGCCCGGACACCTCGAACAATCGTGACGCTTCACGACCGGATTTTCGAACCCAACAGGCCCCCCCCCCCAACCGCGGCGAATTTGCCTTCTGCAGCGGGACTCTTTTTATTTCTGCGGGCCTGTCGGCTGGCCCTTTCCTGGAAGCCTTTCGTTTTCTTGCTTTCTTTCGACATATCAAGACGCTATGCGGTTCCGGCATTAGGACGACGTGTTCGAGACCCAACCGGCCTACTCGCTTCCGCTTTGACGGGCTTGGGTGGGATTTGATATCACCAACATACCGTTGTAGAGCTCGTCGTCTAATTCCTTTGCAATTTTCATCAGTACTCAGAAATCTCACCATATCCCCAAGCGGCCGACTGTCACAATGCCGCTCCCTCAGCCGGCCGTGGCCTTGAATAACATTTGTTCTACCATTTTCAACAACACTCTCTACACCTATTCTTCATCCGCTTTCCAGTCCCTCGATCTGACGTCGGGCGCCAAGTGGAAGAAGCTGGACTACAGTAATACGTCTGTGTCCGGTGCCGTTTGCGTTGGCTCTACGCCAGGTGATCCCACGCTGGCAGCCTTCTTTGTCGTTGGCGGCAAAACTGACGCTGCCGACTATCCCGGTCTCCAGAAATACACCTACGCAACCGGTGTATGGGAGACAATAACCCTCGCGTCGCTTGTCACGCAAAACCGACTGAATCATGGCGCCGCCTACATCAACGCGACGGACAGCATTTTGGTATATAGTGGTCAGCAAGATGACTCTACCGGTGCCTCGCAGCAAACGTACACTATTGGGGCATCGGCTCCGTATATAGTCAAGTCGGTTTCATCACCCGCGGCACCGTTAACATTGAACCCGATTCTTTTGGAATGGTCCGACTCCCAGATCGCCATGATTGGTGGAAGCTCAACCAACACCGCTGTCATGCTCTTTGATAGTGCCAGCGAGAACTGGATCAACTCGGGCGCCAATCTACTGGACCCTTTGACTACCAACACGACCGGGTTGCAAGCGGCATTGATTATGGGCGACGACAACAGTAAGAATCTGTACACATTCGATGTCACTGTATCGCCCAACCAGGTCAAGCATATCGTCCTGCAGGATGGTACTGGCGCACCTGTGGTAAACGCCGGGCCCTCGAAGCGGTCTGCGCAGGAAGATGCGACATGGAACGCAGAGCTTTCTCGTCGTGCCTCACTGACGGCGAGCAATTGGCCCGCGTACAACGCTTCTCTTGCACCGACAACGACGCGGTCTGGGTTTTCCATTGCCGAAGGTCTGGATGGCATGGTTGTGCTTTCTGGTGGTGGTGGCAGCGATGTCCTTTGCGTATTTAATGGGCGCTCGAACTCATGGCGCAATGCGACGCAGATGCTGTCCGCCAAAAAGTCACTGGTACAGACCAGTTCTGCATCATCTTCTTCTTCAACGACCGCCCCGACAACGCTTGTTATCGCCCCCAGTTCGGCTTCGGTCTCCGCGACTTCTACACTTGCAGCCACTTCTTCTGCCGCTGCCGCACCGGCCCCGGTGTCCCACAACCTTCCCACGAATGCTGTTCTGGGTATTGTTTTGGGCGGCGTTGCTGCAATGGGCATTGTTCTTATTGGCCTCTACTTCCTGATCATGCGCCGCCGCAAGCGCCGGAATTTCCTCGAGGCCGCTCATAGTCGGCGGGCAAGTGGTACGTCCTCATCTGAGAAGGATGCATTTGCTATTGCTAGCGACAGCTTCCCGCAGCGTCCGAATGTCGGTAGTAAAGGCACGTTCCGTGCCGGCCACCAGGCGCAAGACTCGCAGGGCTCCTTCTCTTCTGTGGCCATCTTGATGGGGCGTGTCAACCAACCCCGTCAGCCCGACACCATCCAGAGAAACAACAGTGGTGGCGCATCTAGGCGCGGCTCAACAAGCGACCCCTTCAACAAGGGATTCAAGAGTACCATCAGTCGCCCGATTCCCCAAACCCAACCTGGGCCAAGCATGTCTGCCAACTCCGTTTCGCGCGAAATGCAGTTCGAGCGCGGTGCCGGAGCCGGAGCCGGAGCCGGTATTGGGGCGGGGGCGGCCTCGGCTGCTACTGGTTCTTATGGCCGCAGTGTGACCGACCCGAAGCAGCAGCATCAACAGCAACACCAGTCGCAGCAAAGCAACAACCAAAGCGGCACACGCCGCTCTTCAGGCTGGAACCGCTACTGGTCGGGAGGCAGCGCGCTGAACATGCTTGGCTTCGGTAGTGGTAACGGCCATAACAGCCGCAGCTCCAAGCGCACAACGGTCGCGAGCGACGCGAGCAGCAACTATTCGACTAACAATCAAAACCGCATAACGCAAGACTCAGCGACTGTTCCGCCGCTGGACATTCCCGGCATGCCGGAGGCGAAACCACGTTTCCAGCGAGTCAACTCGGGCTCGCCCACAATATCCAACTATGACAGCTATCTGAAGGATGGGATGCAGGGCAAGATCATGCGCTCCACCAGCCAGACGTCGTCAAAATCTGGATACTCAAGCGGCATCCCCGCCAGTGTTCATGATATGTGGGACCCGACGTCATCGTCCGACCACCAGCCCTGGGGCTCCAACCGTGCACCAAGCAGCGCGTATGGATCGTCCACCCAAATCACGTCTCTTGGCCCGGCATCTGGATCGGGCGGCAAGAAGTCGTATGTGCCGACAGGCATGAGCCGGCAGCCACAGCTGGCCATGGCTGACACGTCGTCAGACATGAGCTGGCTGAACCTGGGGGACGTGAACGCTCGTGTATGAGACAGCCAGCTGTGGCGAATTACGAACGGCCTTGGCTTAATGACGACTATTCTTATTGTTCTCGACAGTCCTTTGCTCACCAGCATAGCATCCTCCCATTTTCACCAAACCCGCAATTTTTGTGTGTTATGACGGCTACACAACATTAGAGCCACCAGACGAAAGAAAGCCACTCTCTATACAATTACGTTCCCTCGCTTATACCCTCTCTTCATCTTCACACGCCAAAATTAGCCACCGGCAGGCTAGCGGTATCACCAAAACCGTACCTTGTTACTATTCCATGTCACCAGCATGACTGGATACGAATCGTCACGAAGTGACGAGATAGGCCTGATTTGGTTCACGGCCACTCTCATCACTCTCTCACCACCGGGCACATGTTGCCCTCTCCTATTCCATTTCCTTTTTTTATCATTGTGCTGCTTTTTTGCAATACTGGCATACACGGCGTGCTGTTTATCCTACATTTCTTTAGCCTCGTTCCTCGTACTTTCCTTACCGTTTCTCTTTGATTTGGCTTTGTAGCTTCCATCCTTCGTTTCTTACACTCCTTTGGCGTACTCGTCACTGTACGGTCACTTTGCACGCTTGTTGTTTTCCTGCAGCCTATTTGCTGGCGTCTCTCTCTATATCTCCTATCTCGCTTCCGCCTCTCTTCCTCTTTTTTCTTTCATCTTGTTGCGCTAGATACGACCTGGGCACGGCCCCACACTGTTTCGTCTTTCTTTTCGTCCTTCGCATTATACCTAAAAGCTGGCCCCCGGGTAGGAGTCCACAGCGTGGTAATATTTATTGTCTTTTGTTGACGTTGACCTTTGAAAGGGGAGGAGGTGTACACACTCATTCCCGATCTGTTCGTAGCGACGAATGGGAGAGTGCGGAAGAATCTCGTTTTGAATCTTGGTTCATGTATCTGCTACAAAGTCAAAATTCGTTTATTTTCTCTAGTTAGCTTGTCCGGGGACCTGTGCTAGCACAAAGCTGCATAGCATGGGTAAACGAAGAAATAAACACAGCATCATTCTAATAATTTGTCCTCCAGTACATGACTGCGGATGAACTCGTGACGTTGATCGGCCCGCACATGTTAGATGGTAATCGGGAGGAGACGGTGCACTATTCGTCTTTCCATTGGGGTCTAATTATGTTCATTCATCATCCCCAACCAATTTCATTCCCCAAATAAGTCCATCCAATCCTCCAAATGTGTCACAATAAATTCGGACATGGGGATGATAGAGTTCGGTGACAGCGCTTTATTAGGAAGGTTTGTAATTGAGGTTGCCTTGGGAGGTTAAGGCGAATGAAAGACGACAAATAGTGAGAGAGGTGGAAGATTCTTTTATAGCCATACAATGCAAACGGCATTTATGTTTGTATGGTTTCTGCCGATTAGGTTCAGAGAAAACAAAATATGATGGGAAGCAGTATTGTAACACAATTTTGTCGGTTTAACACGTAAGATCACGAGGCTAGGTTTTGCCACGTTCTCGATGGGAGTGCATACCGCATTGTACACTCACGTGCACTTACTCATTGTGCTGCAATAAGTTATAATACTTACTACCTTGTACGCGCACTGCGAACCTCTCTGCTTCTCTTCTCTCCAAGTCTCTTACCTGAGTGTCGTGTGCTTTTTGACTGCTTTCCTAGACGCGATTTCTAGCCTCGGGACTTGTTTACAGTTTTGAATGTTAGTATAAACTCTCAACGTCAACGACAAAAATCTTATGTGCGAAACGGCCACAGAAGATGAGGAACGAAAAGGGGGTAAAGCAGAGTTAAGTACGCCCAGATTCTGCCGGCATGAGGTCCGACTATGCATCTTTCAAGCCAGCTATCTGACAGGCGTTTCCTTTATTGTCTGGCCGTGTACGACGGTAGTTAATTCAGAGTTTTTGCTCGCGTGAGGTTCTTTGCCGGATCGTCCCTTTCTCTATTTCTTTGGACTTATTTTTGGGGTTATATCCCGGGCAGGCCCGTCACGAAGGGACCGGTTTTCTCGGCCAGAGCTGTTTTGGGCTTCGGTGAAGCAAGACGATGCAGCTTTGGGTAGAGAAAAAGAGGGGGCAAACTTTGTTACTTTGTACGTTAAGCCAACAGTGGGCATTGTGGCGTTTGTGTTCCCTTCCGTCTTGAACTGTTGACACATGAACATAACGATTAAAATGTACGAGAATACTCAGTGCTCAATACGCCACGGATGATTCTACCTACCTCTTTGGCCTGGACTGTTCATCTTTGCGTCGTAGGGCCTTGGCGCCTAAGAGTCATGCAGCCGCAGTCCATTTTGTACGTGTAGATCGTACCCCGTATGGACTGCGTCGTAACCTCCGTAATTGTGTCGTACGTCGTACTTGGTCCTGGGGTCTTCTGCCCACACACCAACACTGCAATGTTGTCTCTGACCCCCACCCTGCCCGTCCTCTCAGACCATCCAGCCGCCGCAGCGTGGGGTTTTCGTGGTGTCAGACGAATTGCACAGTGCGAGACGGGAACGGGAATGTTGGGCTTCTCTGCGTGGGTGTTGGGAAAGGCCAGGGGGAGCGTCGAAAGCGCGACCCGGAACGACGCGAGAAGTTTAGGAAAATCGAGCCAGGAAAGGCAAAAACCAAGCCAGGAATACCGACCGCATGACCATGACCACACCCTTCCTTCCCCAGCCAGCCACCTGATAAGCTGCATTCAGTTGACATGGCGCACATCATGAAGCGTGACCCGGGATATTTCGATTCGTCGTCACGCCCACTCCAGAATGAAACCTCCACCCCATCCCCATTTCCTCCCCCCCTAGCTGTGCGCCAGGTGCCCCGGATTCTTTTTCTGTAGCAAATGCAAGGACTGAATGGGGATGCAAGCTGAAAACCCAAAATTAACGCCACAATCCTCTTTTTCACGGGTTGACATCGCACACTCCCTGTGATGTGATTTGCCCTTGTCTCGGGATGGATGCTCTCGCGTTCCAATGGCCTTTCTGGTCACCCGATCGACCCCATCGAGGAGAAGCAATTGCCATCGCAACTGGCGATATTCGAGAGAGCCGGCCACGACGAGGGCGTCGACCGACGGCGCCCCGACTTCATGCACCTGGGAGGATACCGTGGCATCTGCAAAATGGCAGTCGGTGTTTGTAGACGCATCCGAGGCAGGCCTATGTCCGTACACAATACGCTGTAATTACTTTCGTACTGTGCAATTACGTCGCAGGTGATGGTATATACGCTGTGGACGGGAGAGTGTCTGAGTGTTTCATTCTGGCTGCTGGATCCAGAAGGGTCCTCCTGGGCAGCCCCCAAAAAGGGAACGCGCAAGATGCAGGAGGCAGGTGCAATGTTGCAACGAGGGGAGTGGGGAAATGGAGCAGGGAAAGCTGCAAGAAGGAGCTGGGACCAGATGGAGGCACGGAGCATATGCAACGAAGCACCTCGCGCGGGAGGCCAAAAAAAAAAGAAAAAAAAAAGAAAAAAAAAAAAAGAAGAAAGAAAGAAAGAGAAAAAAAAGGGACGAACTAACAAAGAGAGAGAGACAGGGAAATAGTCAAAAATACCAGGCCGTCGCGAAAGAAGGCCAGAACGACGGAGGAAGGACGAATAGAACGGGGCAAGCAGAGAACAGAATCAGAAGCAGTGAAGCTAGCGTCCCACCCTCTCGACATTCGCATGAGCGGGGCCCCTAAATTTTCTGTCCAGTGAATAGAGACCCCAGTACTTCGGGTAGAAGGCGGACAAAACATCGCCTTTAAAGTCCAGAAAAAAAAACCCAAACTAATACAGCGAATAAATTTGCACACCGCACGGTTTTACCTCGAAAAAAAGAGGCCGAAAGGCGACCAAGCAGTTGTTGCTGTCGGGGCTCTCTCGTGCTCTTTCCTGCTCTCTCGCTGCTCTTTCCCCCGTCCGCGGTGAGCAAACACAAGTCGTGCTTTCCCCCGTCAGACGCGCCATGCGCCCATTGGCAGTTGCTAGCTCTCACGATTCGATGGGATAGCAGCCACGACCGGCCCAGTCTGTCCAACAAGAATCCTAGCGCTCCGAGAGGTCCCTCCGTAGCTCTCACCTCACCTTCCTTGTCTTTTCTGACAATCGCACTCCGTTATTGCCCCATTACCCGTGAGATACAAACTGCAGGTGGGCAAGTGTTTTGCCTTCGTCGCCAGACCGGCCTATCGGCTAAGGCCTCCGCTGTTTGGGAACAGTTAGGGGAGAACGAAGGAGCTGTCAAGCCCGCCTGGAACGGAGATCGCAATCCCACTTTTCCGTCGCTTTCGTGCCCTGTCGCAGGCCCATCGGCCTCCATCCACGCTGAATGGCCAATTCCTGAGCTTCTCCTTATCGATAGGACGCGCACCTCCCTCGCCCGCTCTTTGCCTCGGCCGGCATTGTTTATTTGTATAACCGGAGTCTCGCAAGCAGCGTAGTGAATGGATCTTGGTTTACACTCCTCGCGGCTTTGGTATCAAAAGAAAGTCGGCAAACTTTCGAACAGTCCTTTCAGAGCTACTACGACGTCCCCTATAGGGAAGCCCACCGCCTGCCCTCCGGCTGCCCATTCCCACCTGGCGAGCCACCGCCCGGTTTCCGTTTATAGCCTTGGTTTCGCAGTCTGCGGCGGGTGGAGACACCTTTTTGGTGGCTAGCGCAGGAGCCGGCTGCGATCTAAGCCTCGTAGCGCGGAAAAACTACCTGGGAAAGCAACCTGGGAGAATCGACTACGGGACCAATAACGAGGCACAGTGGGCAGGAAAGAGACGAGCAGCGGCGGCGCTGGTGGTCGGTTGCAGCGCGCGCTTGGTTTTGCCCCCACCCCACCTTCCCTTCTAATCTTCTACCCGTCCTCATCAGTCCTTTGCGCCTTCCCTCACAGTTTCTGTTTCCTCGGGACTTGACCTCCATTCTGTCTTCCGAATGTCGTAGAGTGCCTGGGTTGCGCTTGCCTGCCACCCCCACCGGCCGCCATTTAGCAGGCACCACCGCCGAAATTTCGATTCCTGACTTTCCCGTTCCTTCCTTTGTCAAATTGTGAGAGGGGAGGCCGTAGCGGAAATAGGAAAAACAGGAACCAAACTCAAACCAAGGAAAAGCCCTTACTTAGCCTTTGCTTTTTTCTTTCTCGTACATTTCCTCGAGCAAATCAACTGTCCTAACCGTTGATGCTCAACCTGATTGTTCACCATCCTACAATGCCTTTGTCGTGAGTCCAAACCACTACGACTCATCTGCACGACAACCGGCGACCGAGCGACACCTCGACCTGAAACGAGCTCGACAAGCCGCACCCTATTTCGTCGCTCTCTCTCTCTTTCTCTCTCTCTTTCTCTCTCTCTTCTCACGGCTGTACATCTCACCACAGCCGGTCGTTGTCCGCCACCCGGTTCGATTCACAAGACTCGCAGCCATCCGATCCACGCAGACGAGCAGACATCCAAACTCAACGACAGCACAATAGTGCCTTCTTTTCTCTCACCTTAATCGACTGTCACCCGCCTTTGCGCTCCGCTCACCGTGAAGCCAGACACCCGTGACATCTTTGGACGCCCGATTCCCGCTTTATTCCAGTTGGATTTTCCTGGTCACAAGGCACAAGGTCGACCCGACGACTTGGACGGTTTACAGCCATAACAAAACCATCCGATCTTGTTCCTTGACCACCTTACCGGCTGTCTCATCTCGAGCGCACTGATTTCGGCACTGTAACACAGCCCGCTCTCTGTTTCCCGTCATTGCAGCTCCGCGCCGATCCTCGCTGCATTCCCCCCCAGGCCGCACCTTTCGGCATTCAGGTTTCACAACCTACCCCACGTCCGGTTCTCGTACCTGCTATGGCCATGATGGGGTCCTCCGCCTGGAACGGCCAGGACCAGGCCATGCACCCTGCTGGCGACGAGGAGTTCCAGCAGTTTCTCGATATGAACGGCATGGGCAACCTCACCGACAACATCCAGTTCGACTTCACCGACTTCCAGAATGCATCCCCTGGCGCTTCGCAGTTAATACACACCACCATGGCGCCCGCCAGCGAGCCACTCGACACCCCCATGACTGGCGCACATCATGCACCCGCCCTCCTTGCGCAGGCGACCACCGGACAGCTCTCGGATGCCGGCCTTACCGGCACCGCCGGTATCCACCCCGGCTCTCACACGCACGGCATGAACCCCGTTGTTACTACCGGCGGCGGCTCCCACGCCAGCAACCCCACCACCCTGATGCCCTCTGTGACGCCCACCGATGCCATTTCGGAGATTGACGCCCAGATCCAGTACCTGCAGCAGCAGCGCATGCAACAGCAGCAGCGCCAGGTCGAGGAGCAGAACATCGCCTTCTTTCAAAGGCAAAATCACATTGTGCCACCAACGCCGCAAAGTCTGGAGCTGCAGGCCGGCAACCAGTTCTTCCACTCCCCAGACCCACGCAATCAGCAGCACCAGCAGCAGCAGCAGCAGCAGCAGCACCCCTCGCAGCAGTCGCAGCAGCAGGCCATGTACGAGCGGTATCAACACTACAAGGAGCAGCAGGATGTATGTGATGCTTTTTTTTGTCCATCTCTGTCACACACACACACGCACACACACACACAGGATTTCGCCGCTGAATGTCTTACTTTGCTAACCATTGTCACCTTGTAGATGTCTTTCACCCCTCTGGTGTCGCCTGCTGTCACACCGCTCGAGACACAGTTTTCTATTGATACACAGTTTACCGTGCCGGGTGCCTACTTCAGCCCTCTGACGTCGCCGGCCCTGCATGCGCAGACAGACCCCAATTCCACCTTTGACCCACGCCTCAATACCTCCAGCACTTCGCCTCTCGACATGGATATGGAGATGCTCCCGGCCGCGGCGCCTGCTTCTTCCAACTCAACGTCCGTCGGCGACAACCTTGCTAAAAAAGCACGGAAAAACAACGCCTCCAAGGCACGGAAAGCCAACGTTCGCCAGTCCCCCATTACCAAGCCCATGCGGAAAAAGTCGACAACTACGCCCGTCATGAACGCCCAGGTGCTTGACCAGCTCGCCGAGTCGCTGGAGCACGAGGCTCTGTCGTCGCCCGTCATCCGTCAACAGTCGCAGCAACAGGCCTTCCCTAGCAATGCTCGCCTCACTCCCTCACACGGGCACGTTGGTGGCCCATCCTCTTCCTCTGCTGGCACGACCGACTCCGAAAACGACTCAGTGTCACCTGAAAACCTCACAGATATGCCTCCCCCACCCCTGCCAAAGCCGCGGTCTGCACGCCCCTCGCCCTACCTCCACCCCCAGAACCATAGCTCCGCAGCACCAAATCACAACGTGGGCCCTGCGACGAGTGCGCCAGGCCCTGCCATGGCCGGTGCCGCACTCGCTGGCGGTTTCCCATCACCCGCCACACCGGCCTCGCTGATGAAGCTCTCTTCGCCGAAGCAAAAATCGCACAAGTCTTCCCCGTCTGTTACACCAATCAAACGTGATGGCACCGCAAGTGGCAGCAATAGTGTCGGCGGCGGCGCGACCACTGCGGTCGGCGTCGCCAACGAGCAAATTGAGAACTTTGAGCTGCCCGAGTCTCTCAGCATGGACTTCCAGAAGACGCACGTGACCTCTTCAAGTGCACACAACACCCCTTCCATCGAGACGACCGCGTCGCCGTCGCTTGATCCCATCGCGGGCGGCCGCGGCTTCCAACCTCTGCCCTCGCCGTCTATCGCGAAGTTGGGCGGCGGCACGCGCTCGGCTACGCAAAGCCCTCAGATCCTCCCTGGCTCGTCCTCCACGCCCATCCTCGCAGCAGGCTCCAACCGCAAGACGCCGCAGATGCTGCCGCGCGGCTCGTCGTCGAAAAAGCGGCCCAGCATCAGCTCTGTCCAGGTGTCGCCCGCGCTGCGGCCCAAGATTTCGCCCAGCATCAAGCCTCTGCTGCCCGGTGGCGTCTCGTCCGTCGAGGACCAGGCGTCGCGGCTGCTCGCCACCAAGTCCAACTACCAGAACATCCTAGAAGGCAACACAGTTCCCGGTGTATCGTACCCGAGTGAGCTGTCGACGAACCTGACCTCGAAGCGGACATCACACAAGATTGCCGAGCAGGGCCGGCGGAATCGGATCAACTCGGCGCTGCAGGAGATTGCGACGCTGCTACCCACGCCGCCACCCAAGGACACCAAGGCTGGCGACGCTGCGGCTGGTGGTGACGACGATGAGGTCGGCGGTGGCGACGCCAAGAAGGACGGCAAACCGGCCTCCGGTGGTGGTGGCAACAACAGCGCACCCAACAGCAAAGCCAGCACAGTGGAGATGGCGATTGAGTACATCAAACTGCTGAAGAAGGAGGTGGCCGACCTGACAAAGCGGGCGGAAGATGCCGAAGCAAAACTGCAGCTCAAGGTTGAGGAAACCAGCTAACACGAGTCGCTGCGGTGAAACGACCGAACGAGAGAGAAAAAGAGAAAAAAAGAGAGAGGAGAGGGGCAAATAAGGGAGACAGAAAACCCATCTACTATATATCCACGGCGTTTTTATGAACGGGGTTCGGCTGAGCGGAGTTGGCCGGACGGTGCGAAGATGGGAGAGGCGGACTCGGGCAGTCCTTTTTTGGTTATACTGTTTGCCTTTTATCTTTGCTTTCTGTTTCTGTTTCTGTTGTCGTCTCTTTTTCGGCCACGACCTCCCGACTAAGACTGTTCTCCTAGATTGCATTGCTTCCTGCTAATGTTTTCTTTTTGTTTCTGGTCTTCTTGTGCTATATTATACATCGCTTACGAGATGTACTCTAATGAAAATACCTTCTTATTGTTTCTGGTTCTTTGGGGAAGCCGTGGGCGTGGGGTCAACGGCAGATGGGCCAGTTGCGTTAGTAATTGAAGTTTATGGGATCCTGAAAAATTGGCCTACATGTTAAACCATTCAGTTTCGGTGTTTAAACATGCTGTCTGATAATTCCCAATTTTCAGATGCACCCCTTCTACGAAGAGCCTTCCTGAACATCTCGTAAGGTGTTGTTAGATCATTACCATATAAATGCGGGCATCCACAGCATGTACAGTTTTGGTATACTGATAAAATAGGTGCCTTATGTAGCATTACCTTGTACACCTTTGGCAGAGAGCACAGCATAATGTCCCGCCATCCTCCCCGATTTCAGTTTTTTTGTTTTCTTCTTTACCGGATCGGCGTCTTAATTCGATAAATTGACGTAGGCGAGGATCTACGCGGCCAATCATATCACGGGGGGGGCAACATCGGCATTGGGACGGCAAGGAACATATGCATTATAGGAGAGAAAGTATTGGATGGCCGGCTGGGGTATGATACAGGATCCATGGAGATTTCGTGCCAAGAAAACCTGACAGCCAAAAAGCCGTGGTAGAGGTGCATCAGAGAAGTGGTACGCAACGGTGATATGCCCTCATCGCAAACTCCAGATGCACATATGGAGTATTACATTATTATTGTCCCTCACTTAACGGTCCTTTTTTGTTATTCTCTCGTCACCTGACTGTGTAAACGCTGGACTTGCCCGTGACTGAGGCAAATACCCGTCGGCTCTGTCGAGAAGGAGCGATCTGCTAGCATGTGGTCGGGCAATTCGTGGTCGGACAATTCAACATGGCGTTCAGAAGTTTTGCAATCTCCAGGAAGCTTACAACACCAGATCGAAAACGATGAAGAGTGCGTAAATAAGTTGAAGCCCTCACAATACTTTCCTGTCAGATCAGTTCCTCGACGATGGCAGCCAGCAGGTGGGTTCGGCGCAGCCATAGCCTACGTGCTAAGGTTATTAGGCTTTAGAACGAAGCCAAGGAGAAAGGGAAATAAGAGCTCGGAATACGAGGGACAGAAACAGCCAGGGCAAAATCGTCCACAACCAGAGTCAGAGAAAAAGAAGATATAAAGACGAAATACATGGGTCGAGCAACAACTTTGATTCTCTTTACCAGTCCTGTTCAAAGCATGTTTTGGACTAATTGGCCATGCAGCGGGAAAAGCGGGTCTTAGCGTCGGATTTTCGGCGTTTTGGCGGGAAGTCGCAATGCCCGAGCAGAGAAGCGGGTCCTTCATTCTGGGCAGTTTTCCTGCCTAAATATGCCCATGTAGCGCACACAGCCACCAACCTTCAGCACTTTATCCTCCCGACAGTGCCTTTCTCTTGGATGCCCCTTGCTCGGGGTTAAGTATCCAGGCCGCGCGTTTTCGCCACCACCAAGACAACGTTTTAGCGAAGTCTTGCCAGGTTCCCTCCAATTCTGCCCACCCCCAGTTCTAGAAAATGGGATCAACAGACTCGGATTAAAAAACGACTCCCCGCATTGGATCATTTGTTTCGTGACTTGTAAACGTGCGTATGTGAACGTGCTTATGTCTGACAGTGACGAGCGGTTGAGGGCTGACTTGGCAGGGGCGCTGCCTAGTGGTCATCATAGGAGACGTAAGATATCAACAGACTAGCATAAAAGATGGTTGTCACAAGCCAAATGAAAAGAGAAAACAGTGAAGGGTAAGACGGCGCTCTTGGAGAAACGAGAACCCATGGAAGAGGTATGACGAACCACGACAGGCTGCACCTGCTTGACGCGGCCTCGACCTCGATCGGCAACGCGTTGCCCGCTGGAACAACCCTTCCATTCGCTGCCAGATTCGCTTTTCTGGCTGCCTAGCCAAGTCGTCGTCGTCCTAGATTGTGCCAGTGTGGTGGGTGCGGGAGGCGGTATGCAAAGTGTTTTGGGGTGTCCGACGTCAAGGATGTACCAAAGTACCGTTTTGACCCGGAGCCCGAACGCCTCTTGACAACCCACGCTACGAAGCGCCACTTACACTGGCCAGAACTCACACCAGCTCTGCGGCCCTCGTTTTTCTTTATCTCTTCTCTTGTGTTTCGGTGGTTTCACTCTCTTCCTCTCGTATGCCCATCTGGTCTATTTAACCGTTCTCTGTTCCCACTTCTTGTCATACTGGATACCTTTTCCTCTTTCTTCTTCTCTCTTAAACCCATCTTCTTTCCCGACTTCCCTCCCCCTTTCTTACTATCCCTCTTCATATCTTTTCTTACTTGCTTTACTGTAAGTTCTTTTTCAACCCCCAAAATATCAAACAACCCATTCCCATATTCAACCACTTGCCAACCAGCACACAAACAGAATGTCTTGGAACGAAGGCATGTTTCCGCCCGGCATGAACAACATGCCTGGCATGCCCGGGTCCCTGGCTTTTCGGCCCGGCCCGCCGCCGCCTCATCATGGCCGCCACCACCACGGCCATGGGCATCACCACCATGGCCCTTCCCCTCCTCCTCCTCCTGGCTCTGATCCCAGCCCTGCTCCTGGTAATGAGGTCGCCTTGATCACCGATGACGTGGCGGCCGAGACTACTGCCGAGGCTACCGCCACGGATGCCAAGACCAATGACAACAACGAGAAGGGTACTGACAACAACAACAACAACAACAACAACAACAACAACAACAACAACGGCGACGATGACACCCGTGAGGGTAGTCGCCAGCGCTGCGGTGGCCGTCACCGCCACCACCATCACTGGGGCGGACATCACGCTGACTGGGACGCCTACGCGAGCGCGCCCTTCGGCGGACCTTGGGCTACCAGTATCCCTCATCCTCCTCCTCCGCCTCCTTATGGTTTTGCCGGTCCCCATGGCCCTCACGGCTTTGGCCCTCGCGGTTCCAGAGGTGGTCGTCACGGCCGTCGTCACCACCATGGCCACCACGAGGACGGTCCAGGCGGCTTCGGTGAGTTCGGGTTTGGTGGCCCCGGTCACTTTCATGGACGCGAACATCACGGTCGTGGTTTCGGCCGCTGGGGAAGGGACGAGTCCGATGCTGCCACTGCCATGGGAACCGAGGCCGCTGAGCCCATGACGACTGCTGATGCCAAATTTGGTGATGAGGAGGGCACGTGTACCTCGTCTTCGTCCTCAAGCAGCGAGAGCGAGAGTGAGGAGGACATCACCAAGACCGAGAAAGACGACTCTCCTTCCACGGTCCGTGGCGACACCCCCGCCGCAGGAGCTGCTGCGGGGGCTCCTTCTGGCTCCGCTGCTGATGCTGCTGCCAACGCTGGTGGAGAGCAGCCCAACCCCGATAACTGTTCCGGCCGCCGTGGTGGTCGCTGCGGTGGTGGTTGGCGCGGCTGGCGCGGCTGGCGCGGTCCTCCTTGCTGCGAGAGCTGCGAGGGAGCCCGCTCGGCTTGTCGTGCTGCTCGTCATGCTCGCCATGCTGCGCGTGCCGCCGCATACGCTGCTCGCTCTGGCGAAGAGGGCACTGCCCCTGCCGACCATGCCGGGCCTGGTGTTCCCGGTGCGGATGAGGATGAGGGTGACCGTCCTCGTGGCTGCCGCAGAGGCCGTCATGGCGGCTGTCATGGCGGCCGTCGCGGTGCTCACGGCCATGACTTCCACGGCCACGACGGCCCTGGCCCCTGGGCCCGTGGCGACTTCTTTGGCGCAGGCTTCGGTCCCGGTGGCCCTTACTTCCACCACCATCGCTTTGGCCCTCCTGGCCCGCACGGTGGCCCGCACGGTCACCACGATCGTCGCGGCGGCCGTCATGGCGGTGGTCCCTCTGGTCCGGGTGGCCCCGGTGGACCTTTCGGTCCTGCCGGTCCCTTCGGTCCGAACGGTCCTTTTGGCCCGGAGGGCCCCATCGGCCGCCACTTTGGCCCCGACGGCATCAGTCGCCGTAGCTTCGGCCCCATGATGGCTGCCCTGTCCAACCATCCCTTGGCCCGGAATTTGCGGGAGATGAGCCGCACCTACTTTGGAAACACCAGTGGCGCCCGTGATGCTACCCCGGTTGCCAATGCCACTGGAACCGCCGGTGACGATGACACCGCCGATTATTTTGTCCCACCCGTCGATATCTTTGTCGACGACAATCGAGGCGGTTGGATTTTGCACGTCGCGTTGCCCGGTGCCAACAAGGAGGACATCGACGTCCAGTGGGATGCTGACCGTGGCGTGCTAACCATTGCCGGCGTCGTCGTCCGCCCCGGCAACGAGGCCTTTTTGGAAGGTCTGATCAACGCGGAGCGCCATGTCGGCCTGTTCCAGCGCGAGGTGAATCTGCCGCCCTTTGGCAATCAGACGACCTCGGACAACAGCGATGCGCCCACCAAGCAGGAGGTTGATGCTGCAGGCATCACGGCACGCATGGAGAACGGCGTGCTGATTGTCGTTGTGCCGACGGTCGACAAGGAGTGGACCGAGGTGCAGAAGGTGGACATTGCGTAGGAGGAGAGCTGGAGAGATGGAGTATCAGGGCCCCAATTTGTGATGGCTCATGGGAACAGGGGGTTGCTATATGTTGCGCCTGCCTGAATTGGATGCATGTCGTTCTTTCCTTCATTTATCCATTTGCCTTCCGTTCTAGTCGATGCGAAACCGATTGTTTATTCTTTCTTCGGAAAATCACCAAAGCCTATAAAAAATAGCATATCCAGAAAATACTGCGTCTTGATTTATCTTGTATTTTTTTTTTTCTGTCCGTTTTTACGTCAACGCGTCACGCTCGTTTCTCGGTTTTTTGTTTCCTTTCCTGGTCTACTAGATAGTGGCTCATAAGAGCCAATCAATTTGCAAAATAAACAACTCTCAAAGCCTTTTTTTAAAATAAATAAATAAATAAAAATCTACAGCCATTATATTTGCCCCCTGTGTCTGCCTTGTGAAAACTGTGTCAATGCAAAACCGTCAAAGTGACGAAGATAACCGCACTTACAAGAAAATGATTGGATGACAGTTGCCCTCGCTCTGCTGCCTACATATTTCTGCTCTATGACTAATCGATAATTGGTCCCACTTTTATGGGAGGCCCAAGCTCCCTCCCTCGCAGCCACTCGCTCCTTCCCCCCATTCCTGTTGCCGCTGACAACAGAGGCCAAAAAGACCAGGTCTGGCAACAACGCAAGGGGGCGAACAGCAAAAAAGTGGGTAAAATCCCGTCACTGATCGCTCCTACCCATAACAAAAGAGAGCACTGGAGGGCAATCCAAAACAAGCCAGAGCGACCCTATGGTCGGTCAGGAGGCAAACGACGTGAAACCCTTCCTCCACTACAAAGTACATGCATCCAATTTCTTAGTCCAAGGGGAATTGGAATGCAACCTGCAGGAAACACAACATACGACCACATTTCGTCTGTGCCCACCGCGACAAGCAGACAAAGACACTCTGGTCTTTGATCGCGACACCTGTGCATCATTTTGCATTGTCGTGTACTGTGTCCTCTCGTTCCCTCATTTTCTTCGGAGAGCCTCACCATCGCCGACCATCTCGACAACGGCATCCATCGCGACTCTTTGAGGCCCTTTCTACTTCTTTTGTGCTCTGACCGTCGCCCAGACCCTCCGCCACCATGTCCGACACCGAGAGCGTCGACTACCTCCAGCCGGGCTTCGACCCCGCCAGCCTCACGAACCCCCGCCTACGCTCTATCCTCGTCACCTACAACGTCAACTATCCGTCCAACGCCAAAAAACCCGAACTCGTCGAGCTCTTTAACGCCAATGTCGCGCCTCAGGCCAGCAAGATCCTCGCCCGCCGGGCTCGCGCCAAGCGCTCCAGCATGGGTATCGTCGACGCCCAGACGTCCGCGTCCTACAGCCAGAGCACAACGGCCTTTGGCGACTCTTTTGACCAGGAGCCACCTCAGCAGTTGTCGCCCAAGAAGCGCCGTGGTCGGCCGTCGTCCCACGCTGCCACGCCACACATTGACGAGCACGACGAGGACGAGGCGGAGGATGCCCAGCGCCGTCAGCGCCGCAGCAGCCCGCGCAAGCGCTCCTCGCGCCAGAGTAGCTTCCAGCCGCCCGAGTCGACAGCTTCGTACTCGGTGGCCGGTGCCTCTGATACCGACACGGGCCCTGAGGCTCGCACGGGCGTTGCTGCCGGTCGCCCGCCCTCCCGGCGTGCCCGCACAAAGACTCCTCAGGTCAAGCTGGAGCCTACTGAGGAGGAGCAATTCTTGGCCACTCCTGCGGTGGTAGCAACTGGCCGTAACGCGCACCTGAGCTCCGCCGATGAGAACAACAACACCGTCTTTACCTACGACAACCCCTTCCAGAGCGGCAGCTCGCCGCTCTCGGGCTCCTCGCCCGCCCAGCGCCGGCGCACCACTAACTATGACGAGACGGCCTCGCACAAACACACGTCGACGAGCACGTCCGGGCGCGTTCCATCGTCGTCACGGAAGTCCCGTGTCGTGTCCTCGCCGGCTGCACAGCCGGCCTACGACTCTCCACCCATCCGTGCTGTTGCACAACGGCGCAACTCGCCTTTTGCCAAGGCGGTATCACAGTCACCCGAGCCCGAGGAGGAAGAGGAACAGTCTGACGAGGAGGATTACGACCCACTTGCGCCCGGCGAGGAGTTTACACCGGAAGAGCAGCTAGAGTTGACACAACAGGAAGAGGTCCAGCGGCGCCAGAACGTCGGATCCAACCGGCGCTCTGGAAAGGGTAGCAGCAAAGCCGTGACCCGGCGGAGAAGGGGCTTCGTGTCGTCCCTATCCACACCGCTTCTGGTGCTATTTCTGACGCTGCTTGGTTTATATGGCGGTTGGTACCGCCAAGAGAAGCGCGCTGTCGGCTTCTGCGGCCTCGGCCGCTTGGCTGTCCCACTTCTGTCGGAGCAGATCGAAAAGCTGGAGTGGCTGCCGGACTGGGTGCGCGACATCGAAATCCCAAACAGTCTGCAGGTGTTCATTGAGCCGACGTGCGAGCCCTGCCCGTCGCATGCCTTCTGTTACTCGGACTTTACCGTGCGCTGCGAGAACGGCTACATTGAAAAGCCGCACCCGCTGGCCCTCGGCGGCCTGGTTCCACTGCCGCCCACGTGCGAGCCCGACGGCGAACGAGCCCGTCGCGTCAAGGCCGTCGCTGACAAGGCCATCGAGGAGCTGCGTGACCGTCGCGCCAAGTGGGAGTGCGGCGACCTCGTCGACGACGAGGGTCAGGTACCCGAGGATCCGGCCATCGACGTGCCTGTTCTCAAGGAAGTTATCAGCGAGAAGCGCAGCAAGAAGATGAGCAAAGAGGAGTTTGACGACCTGTGGACCGCCGCCATTGGCGACATCGAGTCCCGCGACGAGGTCGAGTCCGAGCCGGATTCCAACTACGCGTAAGTACACTACTCTCTCCATTTCCCCGCACGCCTTTAGCCACCATCTACCGTTCTGAATATCTGACATGAACTAATTAGCCATCCTATCGGGCCTGTAGCGCCACAGATCCCGGAACAGTTCCAAACACCCGCCTATCGTCCACCTCGCTCGCTCGCCTTCCGCTCACCTGCGCCGTCCGCCGGTCCATCCGACTCGGCCTCGCAAGACATCGACTCTCTCTTTCAGTTTTAATCCTATCCCTCTTTGGCGTCGCCTACCTCCGCCACCAGATCAGGGCCCGCCGTGCAGACCGCGCCCGCGTACCCGCGCTGGTGGATATTGTGCTGGAGCGGCTCGCGGCCCAGAAGGAATTGTGGCTGTATGAGGACGACTTTGAAGGCGGCGGCGGCGGTGGCGGCGGCGGTGCTGGCTCGGGACAGAGCGAAGACGCGGACGACAGCAGCTTCTTGCCCGACCCCTTTTTGTTCCTGCCTCAGCTGCGCGACGATGTCTTGCGGGCGACGCACTCGCTATCGGCGCGTGAACGCATTTGGAAGCACGTGCGTGCCGTCGTTGAGCAGAACAGCAACGTACGCACAGGCCAGCGCGAGGGCCGAAACGGCGAGGTGGGCCGTGCGTGGGAGTGGATTGGACCTGTTGGCACCGCCTCGAGCGTGATTGCCAACGGCAGCAGTGCTGCTTTGAATCCCTTGGAGATGAGCGCTGTTCGTCGGCGGCGCAGCGGCCGGGCGTCGTTGATGCCGACTGGCAGTGGTGCCACCTCCAGGGCTGGGTCGGCGGCACCGAGAGATAGCATCGGTGCCAGCCGGCCTGGTGATGTGTCGGATGCCTCGACTGGTGAGGCACAGCAGCCGCAAAAGGATGGTCCGGCAGGAAACGAGCATCGGTCTGCCCTGCACAAACGGTGGCAGGAGTCGCGACCATTCTACTGAGGCGTTGTATTTTGTATTTTTATCATTCTGGTTGCGTACCTATTGTCTCTTTTCTTGTCTCATCATACTATCACTACATGCATGCATCGTGCATTGCTCACGTATATTTTCCTTAATTCATCTTGTTCAAGCTGTTTGCCTTTGTTCTTCGTCTTGTCGGTTCTAGTATTTTCGTTTGGTATTCCTCTCTTGCAACATGTCGGTAATCACACTGTGTCACAATACACGGAGTACGGTGTTATTTACCTGCTCTATTTTGTGGAAGGTAACCCTGATTTACTTTTGATGACTTGTGCTAACAGTCCAAACAAAAAGTATAAAAAATAAATAAAAAAAGTAGAAGAAAGATAGTAAAAGAGAAATACCAAAAAAACACAGTCATGTCAACCTTTTATTTATGGATTAATTTTTTGTCCTCATTGAATATTTTCGCATCACCACGACCATGGAAGATATTTGATCAAAGTCATATTTGAATTAGGAGGCACTGCGAACTAGATAGACTCTTCATAGTATAATAATATAGCAGAACTTTTAAATGTAAAAGAAGTTATTCACGGTCCCATGGTCAACGTAAACGCTTATGCTGCCATTCCAGCCTCCCGGCAAATTATCCGTAGCCGCCGGATACTTATACCAGTACCTGCTGTCGTGGTGTAGTAGCCAACCTCGGACCCGTTTTCCTCATTTCCGGCCATTCCGACGCTCATACCTGACTGCTCCCGCACGACGGCTTGCAGCGCCGCTCGAAAGTCAGCATTGATTAGATTTGAGAGGACAAAGTACCTGTACACGTGGTTGTCCGTCTCGACGCCGGCCCAAAACAGCGGCCACTGGAATCGGTCGAGCTCGACGGGCCCGACGGTGCGGATGGCGCGTTCGGCCAGATGGACGATCTGGGCGCTGACGGCCTGCCGGTGGGACGAGGGGCCGCCACCAAGCGGCGAAAAATCTTGGCACGAGTAAGGTGATGATTGTTGTTTTTGCCGTTGCTGTCGCTTGTAGGTTCCATGGCTGTAGTTGTAGCCGTAGCTGTTGTTACGGAGGATGCTGTCGTCCGCACCGCCGATGCCTACCAGACCCTGCTCCTCGTCTGTACAATCCTCCTCGCCATACAGGTCTCCGTGCGTGGCACCTGCCCGCAGCAGATGCAGCTCCAGCGCCAGATGGTGGCACACAGCCCAATCAGCCATGGCCAAGAGGCGCGAGCGATGGCCGCCACTAGTGGCGGCAAAGGCTGACAGGCGGAAGACGGTTGTATAGCGCGACCGCAGAGAGTGAACATCGCGGGCTATTTGGGCGATGGAATCCGGTGGAGAGGGCGACGAAAAGGAATGACGACTCGGCCTGCGACCTGCGGTAGTAGCCCTGTCCTCCGTCTCCTCCGTCTCCTCCGTCTCCTCCGTCTCCTCCGTCTCATAGACAAGATTCAGACGGTGCACGGCCACCCACGTCTCATTGATGAGCTGGAGAGCGGGCCAGTTTTGGTTGTCGTCGGCAATCTCCTCGGGGGTATAGTCGTCCCAAAAGTCAAGAAGGGTCGTGCGAGCCGTCTCGTAAAAGCCAACCTGGCTGCGCGGCCGCATGCGAAATTGCATCGAGAGACCACCGCCCTTTCCAAAGAAGCAGGCAGCACAGTCATACCAATAGAGCCAACTGAGCAAGCGGGACACGAAGGACCGGTATTTGACGGGTGGCAGTGGCCCTTCGGCGGAGACCATACTCTTTGCAGATTTTGATGTGCTGACGGGTGCGGCTGTGGGAAGCGGCTGGACTGAATCATATGCAACTGGACGGTTGGTGGTATTGCCGGTCTCGTCCACAACTTCGCATATGCTCAGGTCGTCATTTTCCTCAGCCCCGACACTTATGGAAGGCGAGGCCCAGCGCTTCTGGGAGTAAGTCGTGGGTAGAGCCGATGGAGGCTCGCTGCTCATGAGGCCGCGCCGGAGCTGGTGTTTGTGCAAGTAGTTTCCCATAGCCTCGCTGAACGCATTATGCGAGCCCCATCGCCCGTGCTTCAGAGTGTTGCGTCGATGGACGAGATACTCGAGCCAGAAGCATGCCACCACGACCACGTGGCAAAGGCCGGCCTCGGCAGCCCCGCGGGCTGCGGCCACCAGTTCCTGAAGGGCTGCTTGGCCGGCATCATAGTGGTATCGGGCGAGCTGGCGAGGCGTGTCTGTAGCACCTTGCGTACTGGGCGCCACAGTCTGGCTCGCTGGTCCACCTTCAGAAGCACTACCACCACCACCAATGATGCTGTTGCCGCGCTCGGTATTTAAGCGCCAGTCCAGCTCGCTGAACGAGGCGGCCAGCATCAGGTGTAAAATGGGCTCGTGGTGGATGGCTAGTTTGATGAGGATGGCGTGGGTGGACCAGACGGGCGACTTGGAGCCAATGCTGAAGCCGACCTGCTGATGGAAGAGAAGGAGAGCTTCAAAATGGCGTTGCGTCAGGCGCATGCGGCTGGGAAAGCTGGCGAGGACAACCGTGGTGGTGCCCAGGACGAGGCTGTTTATGGGCGACGGGACCACAGCGGGTACGAGTTGGAAGGCTGGGCTAAAGAGGTTGCTATGGACAACTGTGCTGCAGTCGGCCGGGCTATCGTCCAGTACGACGGGCGTGGGAATGGCACACGTCGATGTCTCAATCGCCGTTGTAGAAGGTGGCGGCAGTGGAGAGAGAGGTGTCGACAAGTCGCCAAAGAACATGTAGTCGGCATCTTCCATATTAGGGAGATAGGATGATGGCGGAGGTATACGGACGGATGGCAATCCAAGGACATCGAAGGAGGAGAAATCTAGGCTGGTATCTGCAAGCGTGGGAGTTGCTTGGTGGACAGTGCTGTTGGTATTCATTGGAACACATGCGGGAATATCGTTTCGTGTGATTTGCGGCACAGGCGAACCATCCGGCGGGAACTCAGTGTACTCGGACGCTAGCCTGATCGAACTCGTGTGGTCACTGTTGCTACTACTGCCGGCAGCTTCCATTGCACTTAAGCAGGGCGACGTGCCACTCACGGTCGGTGACGACAGCGAGGAGATGGTAGACGCCATGGATGCCACTAATGGTCCGGGTGATGCTATAGCCGGTGCTATGGAGGCTGCCATTGCGACCGGGGGTTTGGGCACAATCTTCTGGGGCCGCCAGTTGGTAAACTGCCGCTTCTTGATCGGCCCGGCCCCTCGGCGCCGGTCATGTAGGCATATGGTCTTGCCCTCGGGGCTGTAGTCACAGCGGAGGCGTAGACGCGTGCACATTTTGCAGCTTGGCTTGACCTCGTCACACTTGACTTTGCGGCCGCGACATGTCAAGCAACCCGACTTGGAGCGGGTGTTGGTAGAGCTGGCGCCACGCTGTTTTGGTTGGGATGGCATGGTGCTTGTTCATGTGTCGTTGGAAGCGAGGTCGTTAGTATTTTTTGAACAAAAGAGAAATAAACGCTTTGTCGCTTGGACCATAAACTGTTGTGTCGTCATACGTTAATTAGAGTAGAGGTGATGGGCTGGTTTGAAATGTGAGCCGAGTGGGAGGCCAAGTGAGAGAGAAGAGATGTCATGATCGAGACACGACAGAGCTCTGTTATTCATCCGTGCGCGTCTCTTATTTCCCTGATCTGTTTTCTGTTGGAGAAGTCAGAACGATAGACGGAGCAAAAGGAGGACACGATAAGACGCACGAGATGCTATGGCAAGGACGATGACCCCCGCGGCAGCAAAGGTGAAAACATCAAGGCTCACTTAACCGTCGAGTTGGATGTATGGGGAGGCTCGTGGCGTTTACACAGCCAGGCCGCTCGACAGTCGTCCGGGATGACGGATGTGGAGAGGTTCTGGAGCTAAAAGCGCCTAACCCAGCTGGACACTGCAATGCAGAGCGGTCGACATAAAAGAGGAGCAGATGGGAGGAGGAGACGCTGCCGTCGGCAAATCGAGCCAATAAGAGGCTCTAAAATGCGCCTCCCATTAAGTGCACTGCAGGTTGCGGGCGAAGATGCAGCGACGGGCCTCGAAACAAGCGATAGGGAGCGAAAGTAGCCAAATGTACGGCGTCCGAGAAAGAAAGTCCTAGATAGTAAAGACAAGGAGGCAGCGCAAGATGATGGTGTTCGTTTGGCGACGAGATCTGCAATAATGAAACAATGGTAAAGAGGAATCAAAGCAGAAGAATCCCTTTGTCAAGTGAGGATGTAGATTTTAAACGGATGAAGAAATGCCAATTGAATGCCCGGAAAGTTGAAACATTATATGGATTACCAATGCCCCCAAAACTCCAAATGAATGAGTCCATAAATAAATAATCAGCACAGCACCAATCAACGCCAATGTGGATTAACAAAGATGAAGGCTCCTGGCCACCTGCTCAGGCATGCCCGTGAACTTGATGCCCGTGGTATTTAGGAACTGGTGTGCGGCGCGGCCGCTTGCGCCGCTCACCTGATAGGTAGTTGTAGGTACTGGCGACACCGAGCGAATTTTGAATAAGCTCCTCGACCTCGTCGCAAATGTCGTGGATGTCGTTGGCAACATCAACGTCGTCTTTGCGCATACTGGTTGTGGCAGCCAAGGAGAGAGGCGGCAGCCCTCCGCCGCCGTACGGCGATGCGGGGGAGTTGGACGCGATGGAGTTGTGACTATGACCCTGGCCCTGACTCTGACTGACGTATTGGGCGTGATTGTGATAGTCTTGCAAGGTGTTCGCATGATGGTGGCCAAGATTGTGGCCACCAGGCTGATTGTACCACTGGCTCTGGCCTTGGCTGCCGTATGTGTGGTGCCCTCGGTCCGTAGGGCTGCTGTGGAAGTAGGCGGGTGGCATTTCAGGGTTGGCTGCAACGGCGGCCTCGCGGCTTTGTACTTGGCGCAAGCGTATACGGAACACCGCCTCGAGGCGTCGGTAGAGGATGGCACCTTTGCGTGCATAGCCCCAAGTGGGTTGAAAGGCGCGTAGGATGCCCTCACACTGCAGAATCATGTCGAGCTGCTCGGCGACGA